TGTTCTTCTATATAGTTGCTGCCACAAACAGAATTTTTTTTCTAAATCTGTTATGTAYGTTCGATACCTTACGGAAACTGAGCAAAATAAAGGTGTAAATCATTTTCATGTGTGACCTTAGCAGAGAAAGATTTCTACTGTAGATTGTTGCAAAGCCATAGACATAACAGCCAAAGTTAAAAATAAGGGGTACCGTTCTGAGGCTAAATAGCATATCCAGCAATTATCTGCAGGTAAATACTTGTTCCTTCAGCTATGTGCTCTGCTCATGGATACAGTCAACAGTGCAATCTGATACCTTTTCCACTAAGTGTAGTGTCTGGAAGGAGGAATCTGGGAAACGCATCACAGAGCTGCTCGGGCAGGATATTTTCCCTTCAGTGCCGTAGCTCCTTGAGCTGCCTCTGTTTGGAGCTGTTGCAGGGATGGGAAGAGAATGGCATCGGGTGATGCTGTGCTGAGATCAGTGGATAGCAACATAACCTTGTGTCTTGGAAGACCCTGAAAGTCAGGATAGTGTTAATAGTATTTATGGGTTGTGAGAGTGGGAAGAAGCAATAAAAAGGAAATGCTTCATCTCTGTTCAAAATACCATCAAGGATGAAATTCACTCCAGGGAAAAGGGCCAGGACTGAGCTTTGGGTATTGCCTAATTCGGGCCTTCAGTGGGACTGAAGTGGTGTTTATGCCTTTCAAAGAGGTCTTTTTGGATGCATTTAATCTGATGCATCTAAATTCTGCGTGGAGAAGTTTAGCTGCGTGCCATGTGCCATTGAATAGCAGTGTGATACAGCTGTGCCAATGGAGTCYTGGGTGGAGATGTTCTCCTGGAGCTTGGGATGTCTTCCCAGCCACTGCAGACCACCTTGATAAGATATGGAAAGCCCTGGAGAGAGCCCTTGCCTTGGAGCTACCAGGGCTTTGGCACAGAAACAGTTACCTGGGTAATATTCCCTTCTGCAGTGACAGAGCCTGGTGCATGAGCTGTGTCGCATTACTGAGCTGTTGGGGGCATTTCAAACATCTACCCACACCTGTGCCATTTCCCTGGGGCTGGATGTTGCTGGAATCTTGCACCAAATGCGTTCAGATCCCTGTCTGGGATGTCTGGGGTGCTTGGAGGYGGGTTGAAGGCAGCCCTTGGGTTCCCAGTGCAGGATATGGACTCGGCGGAGGGGCTGCGGCCGCCCCAGTTCTGCTGGAGGCATCTGCCTGTCGCCTCTCCAAGTTGCTTTTGTAGCAAACTTTGTTACAGTAATTCAGAGCATAAAACAGTATGTCCTTGGCTTTTGTCTRTTTTGAAAGTAAAGCATGTATATAAAAAACTCTGCAAAACAAACGTTTAAGGTATCAGAGCATTTCTGTTAAATGTTTGTTATACTGAATACTAAACATTTACATATCCAAGCCTTATGTAATGGATGTCTGAATAATACTAAAACTGCATAAACTGACCTTCATTCTCTGGCACCACGTCTCCTTTGAAGTCTGCATGACCAAATTCAAGACAATTATGTCATCCTTCATAACAGCCAAACAAAAGTTTGGCCAAATAATCCTTTTTCTCCGCATAGCCGCGCTGCGCTTGGGTTTTGTAAGGTGTGTCAGCAGAGCTGTTGTTATTGACTGGGTGTTACGCGGGACAGTAAAAATCCCCTCGTTTTGGATTAAAGAGCAGTGCTGGGAACATCTGGCTCTTGCTTGTTTTTCCTCCATGCCCACTGCTGCCAAAGGCCGCTGCATTGAGCAGCGGGTCGCAGAGCCCGTACGGCCTTAACGCGCGCCGAGAGCCGGGCGCTGCCGGAGCCGGRAGGCTGGCCCGGCGCTTGCTGCTCTGTGGGTGCCAGGGCCGGCTGTGCGGTGAAACGTGCCGCGCGCCTGGCGGGCAGGGCTGGCAGCCGGGGCTCCGCGTGCACCTTRCTATGGGCTGTGTCCTGCTCTGAGGCTCTGCAAGGCTGCTCCGTGCTCTCTCTCACCCCTTCCCATAGGGATCCTGGCACAGGATGATGGCTGCTTTCTTGCAGAGCTGAGTATGCATCAGGATTAGAGATTGGGGCAAGGTGTTTTGGAGGTGTCTATCATGCAGCCTGGAATCCTTTCTGCAGAAGACATATAAGTGCCGAAGTACAGCGCATGTAGCCTCGTCATGCGCTCACACTTGACGCCTTYGGGCTCCAGTTGTCCTGACTGGATCCACAGAAGAATGGAAGGGTGGGGCCTTTTGTCCTCYAGCTCTATGTAAAAGGCAGCAATGCCAAGGTCTTTCCCAGGGCTGTGGTTAGAGCTGTTGCAAGTCGTTCTCTGCAGATGCACTTCAGTGCTGGTGGCTCTGTATGGCTGCAGTACCATGGGGGCACCTCTTTGCATGGGCATGCYCATGTACATGCCTGCATAGAGCTGTTCACACTGAATACAAACTATACATATATTGAGACTTCATCAACTGAAAGTCATCTCCTAAAGGAAAATCAGCTAGAAAAGCTTTGTTACTAAAACATGTTCAAATTATGACTTAAAACAACCAAAAATTGCAGGCAAGCTGTGAATGCAGTCCTGAAGTACCGTAATGCTCTTTTGTGCCGAATTGTAATTAACTGTTGATTTAATTCCTGAACGAGCCTCCAAGTTTTTGTTGGTTTAAATCATGATGTGGATGATCTCGCTCTTTTTTTTTTAATTTTTTTATTTTACTTAAATTTGGTACTGTGGTGTAGACAAATGTAATATTCAGAGTTTATGAATCCTGACAGCTAGTAAATCAGTATTATTTTGCTAATCAGTAAATTACTAAGCCAGCACAAGCTGCTTTTAACTCTTTCCCATGGGACAAATAGTTTGAATTGGCTGGAGTTTAAATCAACACTGTGGGCGCTGAATTAGCCCATGATTGTGAAGAGGGTTTTGTTGGCGCAAATCAATGCTTTGATCTTCACAGTTCTTTTAATTAGCTACAGTTCTGAACAATAGCTTTTATCAAAGCAATTTAGGAAGGGAACAACTGGTTATTGTTCAGGGCTCTCGATGATATTCTGTCTGTTAATATCGTGTGGCTGGTTTTAATACAATGGCAAAGTTAGGATTATTGTAGACCTTATCACTGCCTTGTCCAAAGAAATCAACTGTGCTAAAAGAGGCARTGATATGTGTTGCTTTTTTACTATCATAAATCTAATGATTTCTTAAAGTGGTTTAAAAAATGAGTTATTTCCCTGGGGATTACAGAAGACGAATTCTGTTTGTGCATTCATCAGTGTAAAAGTGGCTGTTGGTCATCTTGACCTCTTTTCATGTGCTGAGTGGTCTATAGGGAGGTGCTGAGCCCTTCTGCTCAAAATTGAAGGCAGTTGCTTTTATTTTGCGTGTCAGACATTTCAGAGTTGGCTCCTGATGTAAAGTAAAGCCAACGCCAGTGCTAAAGCTCCTCAGGGATCTTGGCAGAGCAGGGCTCTATCATTTCTGGAAGAGCAGATTGGCCTGAGTACCATTTACAGCTTGCAGTAAGTGTTTGCAGAATTTGTAAACTTAGGGGAGCAAGGAAGTTGAGGAGCTGCTGGCTGACTTAGACCAAGTTATGCAACTTACTGTCCAAATGATTGCCACGTATCTGCTAATTAATGGAATAAGTTTTTTGACCAGCACTGTGGTTTTTTTCTTTTTTAATGGAAAGATGGGAAAGTTTTAAAATTACCAACATTTTTCTCGGATATTTAGCTCTCAGGAGTGATGTTATACTAAGTCGACCTACTCTTATTAATACTTTTAAAATGTGTTTGCATGGTCCTTAGCCCTGTTTAAGTTTAGCTGCGTTTAACTCTTCTCTGTTTGGATTGCTAAAATGATGCTTGTTCAACAGTTGTGTTTCCAGCACATAGAGAGGGCATCGTCCACGGGCCTGGCTCAAGTTCTGTGGCACACAATTGCTTTGCTTTACTATGTTTAGAAGAAAATCCATGTCTCTACACAGTATGGTATTAAATCATGTTCCTTGTGCAGTACCCTTTTGAAAACAACTTTATTTCATTGCACTTGCCCTTTTGACTTGAAAGTTGTAGACTTTTATCTGAGGCAATTTTCTTAACGACTGAAGAGGAGCTGACTTCATCCGTTTGTGGAAATTTAGGGGGAGCTATGTATTACTTTTTTAATATACCATAAGATTTGAATTATATATCCCTCATTTCCTTTTAAATTACTCATATGAGGTGTTCTTTTGGAAGAAAATAGAACCGAGTCTAAAATCTCATTCTCTTGAGCTCAGTTAAGCTATTTCTTAGAGAAAATAGGGATTACCAAAAATGTGTTCATCTGGTTTGCTATTAGAACATAGACTAATGGTTTATACTTCTCTGGGTTTGGTCACACATTAAAATATTTTTAGCATTTTAAGCATGTATTTTTATTTGATATGTAACAAGAGTCTTTACTCGCATAGAGTTTATTTAGTAATATTTCTATCTCTTTGCCTTTTGTTGTTTGCTCACAGGATAGCCCTTTGGCTGGTGTTTTCAGGCTCTTTATTGGGAAGAGGGGGAAAGATTTCTGAAACACCATCAGATTAAGTTGTGCTCTACTATGAAGGCAAAAAATTCATGCACTAATATAAATGTAATGCCTCTATTCATCTATCTGAGATCTAAGTGCATATCTACTGAAGGCAGTGGGAGTTGAAAGTTGGTTAGAAATAGTTGTTTCAGTAAGGTTTAGATGAATCTTCTATGTTCTCTCTTACTGGAGCACATTTGATATTGGTCAATATTCTCTGTCACCTGAGAAATTATTTTCATTGCTTCTTTTTTTGTTCTCAAAGTAGCTTTCATTCATAATAATATTAATAGCAGTTGCATTACTAGGTTTGCAGTAGTGTATGAGCAAACTATCTCCATGGCAAATGAGTAGCAAAGTGGTACACTTGCTGCTATTATTAATGTTAAACACTAAAATATGTATCACTCCAATTTATGTGACTTGCTTATTTTCTCTTCTCTCCCTTCATTCTTCAGAGCTCCAGAATTGCCCGCTCTGATGAAGATAAGGATGGTTCCTGGGATGCCTGGGGCGCCTGGAGTGATTGCTCACGGACCTGTGGCGGGGGAGCCTCCTATTCCCTGCGGAGATGCTTGAATGGCAGGTTAGCCACATGCTTGTGTATATTTATTTTCTGCAGCTGGGCTCTTTCTCCCTGTCCTGCGATGATTTATGTGGAGAAACACTGTTATTTTATATCTCTTTCTGGAACCAAATGTTGTGCACAGGTCAAGTGCTGTGAAATCCTTCATTAAATATATTTCAGTAATATTTTCAGAAAATACTTTAGCCCTTGATTTGGAAGGGAACTATGTTATTAAACATGTCTTTGAAATAACAAGAATAACTTATTTAGTGCTGTCAAGTATCGAAAGRATCCCTGCCATTGTGATACAGATCCACCAGTGAGCTACCTGCTCACAAGTTAGACCTGAAGCACTGCTCAAGTGCAGCTCCTCAGTCTGCTTCCTGGAGTAAAAATCAAATGTGTAGATGTATGAAATGCTCCTTTCTCTTAGAAATCTTTTCCTCTGCTAGCTGTTTCTGTGCAGTGGACCTGGTGGCCATATGTGCTTGTGGCTAAGCCGAGCGTAGCCTGAGGAGAGGACTATGTGCAGGCAAGAGGATTTYGCTTGGCAGTAAAGCTGGGCTTAGAGAAGACTTGTTGCTGCAATCCTTAGCATATGCAAGGGGCCTTAGCTATTTGGAGAGTTTTTGACAAGCTTGAGGAGCACAAGTGCTGGGATCTGTAATTGCTTTCCCTATCTGAATTGTTCCTCATTATTATTTAAAAAGATGATTGCATTTTAGCTTCTAGTTTGAAATGAATTGCCGTGTTATATGGAATATCACCCAGAAAGTCCATTTCCCTTGAATAAGGCTTGTAGTGTGATGTGCTAGTTCAGTGCAAACATTATGAACTGCATGACTAAAGATAACTGCTTAAAACATTGCTTGTTCTTTTARTGCAGAATGCACAGATATCCTGGAAAATGGTAGTAAGTTCTGCAAGAAGCCCCAGTATTCTACCAGTGTTGACGACTATGAAATGAGCTCAATAAATTGTAGCCATATAAATTCCAGTGTGGTTTTACTAATATTTTTAATGTGTTCCCCTGTGGAAAAAACATGTGTTTTCCATGCCTTGACAAATGTATATGTTAAAAGTTTTTTCTGTGTTTTATTGTTGTTGTAATGCCCAAGAAATGCACAATTGTGAAACCAAGTTTTCGCATTTGTATGTACCATAAACCTTTAACTTGCATGTTGTGCTACAATTATTYTTGCAAAAGACTGGCAATTTGAGATGTGCGGTGTCCGGAGCTTGGAGAGCTGTAGCTTCAGCTGAGCTGGCTGAACTCTTGCTCTAGGTATCCATCGCTTTTTCCTTTTCAAATCCTGTTTTTCAGCCTCTCACAACTTTCCAGAGTGTTTTAATATTTGTAATGGCTTTTCATCAAAAAAAAAAAAAAAAAAAAAAAAGTTTTAGAAACACCACTAATTATAATTTCCTTTCCTATTAAGTCTTTTAAAGTATGCTACTAGCTTTTTCAAGGGCCTGACTTCACCACTCTTTAGAAGAATGTCTTATTCCATATGAGTCTGAATCTCCCATGTCTGAGAGCACAATAATGACTTCTGTGAGAGCACAGAATCAGGGCTTTATTATATGCCATTATTTCAGCTACTTTGCTGAAAGACTTTCCTAAGGAGCCGAATTGCCTGGATTTGGGGATTCACAGATGTTGGGCGTTTTAGGAATGCATGCAGTCCCCAAGAATTGTATTTCATTTAAAATTAAGAGCTCTACTCATGTGACTTTGAGTCATTAAAATGATGTGCTGATCTGCGAAAATATTACACTGGTTTGGGGCAGAAAGGAAAGATTTAAGGTTCTTTTCTTTCCTTAATGAAGTAGGGGAAAGTAGAATGAATGCTCATTAGCCTTATGCTTGACCAAAGGATTGCATAGATCATCTGATTTACTTCCCTTCCAAGTTACATCTCATGGATTAGAAACAACTTTGCTGAAGTCAGAGTAGATCAGGCTTTTGAGGATCCATTGTGAAACTTTTTCACAAAATAAATGTGTTTTTCGTAGGATTCCCAGCACATTGGGCCCACAGGAAAAGTCATATTTTCTGTTTCGAAGAGAGGCAGCAGTCTAACCTGTTGAGTCCCCAGATCCCCTTTGTATTTAAGCCCTTTATTTCAGACCAAATCATGGTAGGGCAGTAGTAATAAAAATCTAATTTTCAAGAGAATAACTTGCTGTAAAACAGGCAGGGTTGTGTGTTGCTGTTATGCAGCTATTACACAGTGTAACTATTTTTACTCTATTTTTCAGGAACTGTGAAGGTCGGAATATTCGATACAAAACCTGCAGTAGTAACGTGAGTCTGGCCTGTAATCCTATTTTACAGCTTCTTTTACTTATTCAGACAATGTGTTAAAGTTTAAGAAATACTGCTGCTTGTTTAAAATCTTATGGTGGTTTTTTTTTCCATCATYATTTTGATTTTTAAAGACTTCACTCTGCGTGACACCACCAGGCCTTGAATTTAGGCTTCCCAAAAGGACCTTAGCTTTTGAAATCACCGTGCCAATTGTGATTCAGAATGTTTTATATCATTTATTAGGAGAGTTGCACATTTTGGGGGATTAACAAATCCATTTTCCTCTTAAACTAGCAAGCAGTTTTCTTGTAGGCTCAGTCCTTCAGATGAATTAAATTGAGCTCCTGATCTTTTGTGATCATTAAGGATGATCATTAGGCACATGATCAGGGAGTTTAACCAGTTATCCCTTTCAAATGTTAAATGGGATAATTTGTATTTATATTCCTTCTGACTGGCTAAAAACAAATCTTTATATTTCCATATGCAGAAGTATGCATGTCTATGCACACCAGCATAGACAGTTTCAGTGGCTCAATATAAAATTGGAAATTTGAGGGATGTTTTATGAAAACCAGTCACATATGGCATACGTTGTGACTCGTGCTCAACTGATTTGCAGTGATGCCTTATGCTGTTTAAGCAGCTGCCTCCTGGCACCCCAGATGTTGCAGCGTATTCAAGGCATGTGGCTCCTGCAGGGCTCTGGTATCTCTGAGCTGCAAAGTGTGCACCCGTGTGTGGTATCTCCAAGTGGGCTGGTGTATGATGAGCACTTGCCTTCAACTGTGGGTTACCTTGCAGTACAGGGTAACATTCTTATAATCACATTCCAGAAAAGAGGGAAGATGGATAAATATTTATAGCAAAACCATCTTGTTTCTGTGTTACTATAATGCATGCAACCCATCTACCTCCCTYTGGAAGAAATGCATCCTCTTTCACACAAATAACCTTTAAAAGGTGAGGTCTGCTCTTCCTTGAGTTGAAGGCAAGAGCAGGTGATACTCACTTGACTGCCAGCCTCACGATTCCTGCCAGCAGCTGCAGCTGTGAAGTATGGCATGTTCTCTTAGGAAGCYTGACACGGGAAGGTGCCCGGTACATATGTTGAATCACTGCATCTCCTGGGACAACTGGCCATACCAACTCCTTGGTTTACCACATCCATGGTATCTGCTGTGCCAGCTGGCTTGTGCCCTCCTCCAGAACAAGTCTTGCTAGCACCTTGAATCGCTCTAACACTCCCCTCCTTGGGGCTGGGTGGATTTTCCACCACTGCAGCCCACAGCCGAGGTTGCTGCTGGCAGAAGCAAGTGGAAGTGATTAATGAATCAGACCCAGCGCATGCAAAAATCACYTCCTGGAGAGACAAACGCAGCCACTTGCTCTTTCAAAAGTAAAGACATCACAGTTGAGTGCACAGTGTCCTTAGCTCTTTCTTCAAAATGCCCCATGTGAAGAAGTATCATAGTCTTTTAAAGCTGTGTGATAAAGTGAATTGCAGCTAGCCAGTATGCAAGCAATAAACAAAACTGCTGGTGGGTAAACTGGTTGCTGTGTTCCTTATCTGGATAAATTATATGCATTGGTATAAGGTATTGTACCTCTTACTGCTTGATCCCACGTGCTACAGCTTCCTCTGCAACTGGAGTTCAAAAAAAATTAACAAGCCTTGCTCCTCCAGCAAAAGGAATAGAARACTGCATAGCATATGGAAAAGGGAGGAGGCGAGATCAATTTGTGCATATTTTCTGCAATAAGCAGAGGTCTCTGTGCTTCTAGGATATGTAAGAGCAATTGCAGGCACTGATCTTTTCAAGCCTTGTGCAGTCAAACTGTATAGTGAGAATGAAGGCACTCACGGATGTGTAAGCCCAGAGAGAATTAAGGTTATTACCATGCGCTTTCTTAACTCCAAGGGTGTTTTTCTCTTGAAGTCACTGGGGCCTGTTTTTTAATTTTTGGGCTTATTTCAAAGCGATAAGTGGCTAGCATCTTGTATGGGAATCTGTTTGAATTTATGATGATTCAAATGCTAATTTCCAGACAGGAAGAGGTTTTTACAGTTTTGCTTTTGGGACATGTCTGAAAGGGWTCGGGTTTCCATTTTACCTCAGGTAGAGCCAGAATCTCTTGGGAACTGTTTTTCCTTGGTTGTGGACCAGATAGTGGTGAACTCCCCAGAAGAACAAATTTCACAAGATTTCCACTGATCTTTGAGTTTGGCCTCATTGAATTCAAACACAATGTTAGACCTGATTTACCCTTGAAACAGGAATAAGCACCTAATAGAGACCTAGGACTAACAGCCCAGCGCTGTTTCAAATGACCTAAGTTTCCCCAAAGCATTATTAGTAATGATCATTTCTCACTTTAAGGTAAGATTTGAGTTTGAAAATTAAGAGTTTAAGCTAGCTTCTTTCAATGTTGGTAGATATTATTGTTAACCACATGAGACATTCGGTATATATACACCGTGTAAAATTGTCTGCAAATGTAATTTTGCTACACGATACATTACACCACTAACATCTATATTGGGGAGTACAAATGAAGCACAGCTTAATATGTATGTCATTCTAATGAAAAGAACAAGAATCATTTTACCAGAAAATTGGTTTCATCTGGATTTGCAATAGAAGAGCAGTAAGTTCATTGAACTCAAGCATAGTTCCTGAATAATATTAGTGATATTTCAATCAAAAATTATTTTGAGGTCTTAGCAACAAAATAATTGCTGAGGTTATTGWGGCATGTGTTTAGCTTGCTTATCTTTTTATCTTCACTGGGATGCCAGTTACTTGATTTCTTATAAATGCATGTGTGCTTTTGACTTTTCTTATAGAAATTTTAGAGAAATAAACTATATAAACTATTYGTTATATACTATTCAACAATATTTTCAGTCTTAAATCCTCAATTTTATTTTTCCATTTTTGTGTATACTATTACATTCTAAGGCTATGATGTGCACTATATGGAAGTGTTTAAGATAATCCTTTAGGGTCCTATTCCTCGAACAAGTTATTTGGGCCATTTCCCCATAAATTTCRTATTGGTTTGTGCCAAAAAGTCACTTATACATTTGCCAGAGTGACTCTCCTATTGTCAGAAGAAACACCACTTTGACTGTTCTGTCCACATGAACTCCATCATAAACTTGTATTATATGTGGATAATTCTCACACCTGTTCTAAATATTCATCATTTTTTGTCCTAGCATCCACCTATGAGCTTGCTCGTTTATCCCATTCAACAAATCTTGGCTGAGCTCTGTCTCTTCTAGTCGTGTAGTATTTCACATTATTGGAGTTGCGTAGTCTATCTCCAATCTGTTCATTTATTTATTTTATTTTTCTCATTATAATGCTGGTGCAGCCTATGTCTCTAATGTCTGGCTCATAGGTTTCTAGCCCAGGTAACTTGATTTTACTAAGTGGTCTGAAAAAAATGGATAGGAAAAAMATGTAATCTGAAGCTAATTTCGGAAAGAAAACAAAACAATGACTTCATCGGATTTGGCTGGGTTTCAACAAAATGAGATTCAAAGAATAAAACTAGACAAAGGACCAGACTTTCTTTGGTGTCATCATTTTTACTGGGAAATTTCTTTCCTTCTCTGTTGTGCTTTTTTCAGCAGAGTAATTATTGGCAGAAATCACAGTGTCTGAAGCAACCTTCATATTTTGGTCATGAACATTGCTTGCAAAGATAGAGATTTCCTGAGTTAGTTTTGTTTTCAAAGGCTTCGAGTACTCCCTGCCAAAGCTAAAACGATACATTTTGTAGGAAGCCAGTCCTTAAATGAAGGATTCTTTAGTAATCTATAACAAAGAGAATAGGAAAATATCTGTGTGGATATATATGCATACATACACATGTATGTATTTATATATATGCATATTTTATATAAATATAAAATCTGCATGGTAGTCATGTCTAAAGTTTTTTTTCAGATCTCTCTAATAATATGTTCAAAAGCACTAGCATGTAAATAGGCTTCACCCACCACAAGCAAGATTTGGCTGGATTGTATTGCCAGCACTCTCACGTATTAGGCATCATACCCATGTCTGCAGCTCCTCGTGTGGTGTGTGAACCCGCGAGTGACTTGGCTGTGGTTCAGTGGCTTGATTGTAAGGGAAAAGCTATTGCTGAAATTGGGAAATATTTTTTTAAAAAAACAGGAAATTGGTAGAAATAATATTTAACAAATATTTAACAAATACTTAGCAAAATTTTGAGACGAGGAGGAATTGAAGGAATAGTGTCTGAAATAAGTTCAGACTAGGAAAACAAGCAACCTGGGCCTGGCTGGCAGTGTGACGTAGCCCCTTGCCTGCCTCTCCCACACCTTGAACCTTCTCTTTTCTGTTAAACTTCCTCTCAATTTTATGACCTACTGAAATAGAATTAATAGGAAGTTTTCAAGTCTTTTTGTTGTCCCTATTGCCTTCCTTTCTATGCTTAGCTGTCTTTCTGTTTAAGATTATGACTTCCTTTCTTTTTCTCAAATATACAAACTGTTCCCAGGAAAACAGAGTTCTGTACTTGGTTGCTGTCCAAATTCTGATATAATGCAATTGATAATAATGTTGGCCCTTTGATATCCCTTTGTGATTCTGTTGTTATGCCCCCGCTTTTGAGCACAGCTCAAACCGAAAGCAGGTGGAGAGGCCACGGGAACCCAGAGCTGCCCTGGTTGCTCTGCGCTCTGCAAAGATGCCCAGAGAGGAAAAAAAAGGAGATGAGGATTCAGCCACATTGCACGGAATCAGTCAGAAATGTAGGCTAASCATGGATTGACATCCTGACATTGTGGTGTTTGTGTCTTGGCACTGCATCAACACCCAGTGACAGTGGATTGCAGCAGCAGCCTGTCAAAACGCGGCCTCACGATAGCATGGCTGTCTTGCAGATACTGCTCTGGTTCTTCCTGGTGAAAATCTTGCTGTGCGGGGGTGAGCAGCAGGGCTTTGCTCCCACGTGCGGCGTCTAACTTTACTTGAATCTAGCTTCCACTTATTATTTTTATCCTTAGCTAGTTCTCTTATTTGCCATGGTGGAAAGGAGCCATATGGTATCCATATGGACTCTGAAGTCCTCCCTGCTTTTTAGATTTGCTTTTGTGGAAAATGAGAGGTGACACCTAAGGCAGAGCCAAATTCTGTTCTCATTTACACCAGTGCAAATTTGGTGAATTTCTCTGGAGTGACACTGCAGTAGATGAGAGAGGTTTCTAGCACAGTATTTGTTTGACATTTTTTAGAAGTTCTCATTTGTGGAATTTTGCACAGGTAAAACTCAAAGAATTACACTAACTCTAGTTTATCTTCATCTTATTCCATTGTTTTATATTTTTTACAAATTATTTTACAGATTTTACATTTAAAAACAGTACAAATATTGGCATCGTTGTTAGCTAGTTTCGCTCTAAGGTGTTAGCACTGGGCAGAATTTAAAAGCACTACCAGGAACACTCAGTGACCTGCTCAGTGCACACTGCAAAAACCCCCACTGTTGATTATTGGAGAGACTACTGATTTTACAAAATATTTTATGCAGGATATGGATTTTTCTAGGTTACTGTTTCCCTTATTGAGAAAAAAAAGAAGTCCAAGAGATGATTGCAATAGTCCAGTGCAGCCCTATTCATAAGGGTAAAATCATGTGAGGAACACATTGCTGAGGGTGTCAGAATTCCTACCTTCTCATCTGTGTGTAAATCTATAATAGTGTGCAATGCACTTGCAATTTCATTAGTGTTTTTGGGGGAAGGTTCAGTTCCCTGATAAGGTAGAAGCATTGCTCAGGAATAAGTATCGTTAACTAATACATTAGTAATAAGTTCCATGAGTTCAATTGACACATCACAATCTTGCAGTCCTATATCCAATGAAAACAAAACTTTGTTAAAATCAGCCTCACATCTGGCTTACGTGTGCAGTTGGAATTCTTGCAAGAATATCCTTTCAGTCTAGCATATGGACTGCTTGACACTGGGCATACTTTTAACTGAAGTCTTTAGTGAGAGATTGTTTGACATGCTAATTCCTTTGACAGTACTTTACCAACGTTATTTTCCAATAAATCAGTGTTCATCTCTATTCATGTCATTGTAGTTTAATATTAACATCATTGCGTGGCTGCAATGTTTTATGTACAAAAAAAAATTTTAGAATACTTAGAAAATTTTAAAATAAAAATTGTTAATAAGGCATTTTTCATAATGAATATTTCTGCTGTATATCTGAGCTCTGTGTGGGAGATGTTTTTGACCCCCTTTTGAGTGATACTGAACGATTCATTGGGCACATTTGTATTCAGTTGTAGGTAGCTATAATATGTCTTTCATTACTCATGGCATATGAATTGATGAATAAGTGTGGAGTGCTCTGCAATCCTTGGGTTAGTAAAACTTTTCAAAAGAGAAATATGAAATGTCAGAGGTCTCATTATAGTCATTCAAAAGACTTAGATTCCTTTAGAAACTAATTCGTGTTACAGAACCAGACTGTAAAACTGAATGTGCTATGTGAAGTGTTGAAAAAATAGTATTATTAATTAGTGTCCTGCATTAATTGTGCTGTTATTACTGGAATATAGTCTGTTACCCTCAGTGCAAGCATTTGATTAAGCAGCATAAATGGTTTTAGTGTTCACAATGGAGGATGGAATATTTGTAGTGTAGTCAAAATAGGTTAGTTCTAGAGTGAAGCTGCCTGAAAAGGTTCTGAATAATTCATCAGAAAATGTTATTACCCATGTGTAGTGGTTCCCGTAATGGAAAATGACTTCTTTTTGATTTGTTTTCAGGACTGCCCTTCAGATGTCGGTGACTTTAGGGCACAGCAGTGTTCTGCCTACAATGATGTCAAATACCAGGGACATTTTTATGAGTGGATCCCTGTATATAATGATCCGACTGCACCATGTGCTCTTAAGTGTCAAGCTCTGGGGAAGAACTTGATTGTGGAGCTTGCCCCAAAAGTGCTGGATGGTACTCGATGTAATATTGAATCCCTGGATATGTGCATCAGTGGAATATGCCAGGTATGTCCATACTGTGAATCTAAATGTGAACTGTGCTGTAAGATGCTTTGCACATGTTCTTTATAATTTTTCTTGATATTTTTCATCTTTATGTCTGTTTGGTTGGAAAGTTTCTGAAAGTACTGCCAGTTCGATAGTAGTGTAGACAGAAGTGCCTGACTGCACTGGCCTTGGCCATTAATATTTTGTAGTTCAATAACATTTGGTACTCTCCTATTTATACTGCAATATTTAGTCATGTAAAAAAAATTGCTGTAACAAGTTATAGCTTCTTAATATCTAGTATGTCTAAATAGATACACCTGTCTCTGAGACCTGTCATAGAGGTGTCAGGGAATCATGAAATTACATAGTCTTCAGTGCCACTCTGCTCTTTCTCTGTGTCTTGTATCTCATGAAGTATATTAAGAAGAAAAATATTTTATAGGATCCAGACTGGAATGGTATTGTGTGTGTATTTATTGTATGTGTTGCTGTTGCCTCTTCTTCCATTAAGAAGTTCCTGGACCATGCAGGGAATATGTCTACAGTAGAAAGCTTTTTCAGGAAGGTAAATTCCAGAGGTTGAACCTTAAAATCTGAGGGTTCCTAAGATAAGTTCATAAATTATAGATTTAATTTCTATGGAGGAGGACTTGCTTTTGACAGAAACATTAAAAATAACAAATGAGGCACTCTYAGCTGCCAAACTCTTGGTTAATATCCCTGCATCTGGGATGTTCTCGGATGAAAGAGGTAATCTCAGGCTTTCAGGATCCACTCATTTAAACAAGCTAGATACTCATATGAATCYGATAACTGGTTCAGGAGCCCAGAGTACCAGTTGAACTCAGTTGGCAAATGGGCAGTCATGCACATTGAACCCACTGAAGCTTCTTCCTCGTCTTCTATTCATCTCCAGGCCTAGCATGTTGTCAGGAGGTGTCATGTATGCTTARGGGCAGGCCTGGATTGGGAGATGAATCCTCCTGATGACCTTGAGGTAAAGACAGAGACAGTTCTTGCTCTTCTTTTATGTAGCTCAGCATAACATCTCAATATTTGGTGTTGTYTTAACTGGAGAACAGGAATGCATGAAGGACAGTCCTGCTACTCTGGTTTTCTTGTCTCTGGTGGTCATTATTTATCCCAGTTTTAATTGCAGTCATCTCATAAGCATTCAGAAGGGCATCATGCCTGGTTCCACCCAGTCCTACCTTGATATCTCTCTGCATCTGCTAAGTCTCCGTATCGTCCSCTTTCCTGTCAGAGCTGAAAGGCTTCTGGCAGTTTCAAGCAGAGACGGCCCTTGCGCTTGCACAGACACGATACATGTACAAATGTGCCCTGCATGCCTGCCTAGAAGAGGCCCTGCAGGAGATACTAATGGCTTGAGCAACATAATAATTATTTGAACCACTTCCAGTTTCCTTAGAACAAGTTGTTCAGAGCCCCAGCCACTCAGGGTGGTAAGTGCTGTTACTCAGGGTGAATCATGATGTGTTGTGATTGAATGTGAGCATAGATGTGATTGTTGGTGTCTTTTTACTGGGAAATCTGCCTTTGCAGATATATTTATTGTTGGAATTACACTATTGGTTTTAGGTGGTGTAAAAACAGGGGTAGAATGTTTGAATCTTGCAAGCTTTGCCCATGTCTCATTAGCAAAGAAATAACTGTGCTCTTAGGTTTTATGTACACAGCAATTTTATACAGAAGGGATATGTTATTGCAATTAGTTTCCTTCTCTGCAAGTGGTTGTTGCTCTGTTAAGTGCCTAAAATGTGTGTGACTCAAAAAATGCAGGATATGGCCCAGTGAGCGAAATAGCTCTGTTATAGGGGAAAACTTGATACATTTGGCAGAAGACTGGTGCATGGATTACAGCAACACTAATATATGCTCTGGATCTTCCTGTGGGTTTTATGTGGCTTCTATGTATACTGTGCTTCCAATACCAGTCGTGCCAAGGCACAAGGCATCTGCTACCTCTGGAACAGAGGAATTCCTTACGGTTGTCCCCTTGAAGAAGCAGCACTTGCCCATCGTACTGCACAGTGGTATCCAACATTGCATTTAAAATAGGATGTACCTCTATAAACTCTGGAGCCACTTGCCAAATGACACATTTTAACACATTTCTTCTGTATTATTCTTAGCAGTGTCTCTTCTTCTAACACCAGCTTTCGTGCTGGAGGATAGCAAAGCTCTTTGCAGCAGCCATTGCTTTTGTGTCCACTGTAGCACAGAAGCATCGTCCTGCATCGAAGGGAGCTCTAGGTTTTTCAGTGGCTTGTGAGAACCTGCACGGGGGAGTTTCCTTGTGGGAATCTGAGAGATTTCCAGGACCTCCTATGCTAACCTCCTACATCCCACAAGCCGCAGTACATAGCATGAAATTCACTTTGTCTAGGAGGGATCCAGTTTTATGGAGAACTGCTGAAGTGCATAATGAAAAGGGATGCTTTAAGTGTTTCTTCTTAGTGCTTTGAAGTATTCCTGTATGTATATCTGACATCAAATATTTGGAAATTTAAATAAGCAGTTTTGGGGAGTCATGAGTAGTGGTGCAAGAATTAGTCATTCCAGAAGTAGACACCAGATCTCTGTTGTGCTTCATGAGAATGGATTTCTTTTCTTCATCTCTTTAATTGTTTCTTTTTTTTTTTGTAATTTCATCTAATTTCAGAAAAATATCTTTCTGTTTGAGATAACATCTGCTTGGAAAAAAGTATCAGGATATGTTCTGTGCTGTGACTTCAGAGATTTAGTGATTTTATAACTTAACCTAAGTTAAACTGTTAATTGTAACATAAACTGTTAGGTGCTTTCACTGTGTTTCCTCCAAGTCAACGCTATTTATGAGGTAGTTGTGCAGAAAAAGAAATTTCCTCCTTTAAAATTTGCTTGTATTTTGCTGGTTCAGTTCTTGCACAATTAGCTTAAAGGCTTTCCTGAATTGTTCGTTTTTCATCAGCACTTGCAGTTTTTGTTACCAAGCACAGGTTTTGATTTCATGGCCTCCAAATTCTTGGGTCGTTCCAATAACCTTTCAGTCTGAGTGGACGGTTTTGGGGTTGAGTGGAAAGATTGGTTTCTTGTTAAAACCGAGGRAAGGCCTACCTGGGGATTTCCTCAGAAGCTGACACGGATCTCTGTTCCTACTCCTGTTTAAGCACGAAAAGAAAACAAATTGACATCTAATCTTTCCTGGAAAAATGTGGTTGTGGAGTCAACTGCTGTTAGGAGACGGACAGCAAAAATTGTGATTCTCCACAATTGCTGCTGCAAGATCAGTCTGTTGGGATCTGACATATACTTGGCACAGCCTGCGAATTACTTGGCAAGTGTTTTTACAGTTAACTCATCTAAATAAACATGTCATACTGCTGATGTGGATATCTTTGATTTTATGCCTGGGAGCACCAAAGAGTTACAGTGCGGAGACTGGCCTGCCTGGGTCCCTTTCCAACTGGTGCTGGGTTTGCTCATTTATTGTCTCAGAGAGTTGGCAGGTTTATAAGAAGCGCGTTCCCCCTCCCTACGCATGTGCATGATTTCGCTTTCACGGGTTTTCTTATTCCTGCTCAGGTAGAGCTGCCTCGCCAGTCCTGGTGCTCCTCAGACTCCTCTTTGGCACAGGGTGAATTTGTGGGGCATTAAGGTCTCTTTTTGCAGCTGCAGCTCTGATTTCTCGCTCTTCCCTTACCAAGTCAGATCCCTCTTTATAAAGTAGCGTCAATAAAAGCCCCGAGACAACAAAACTGCTCTTTGGATAACCAAACTTTGAGGCTTCAGGGGGAAGTACAAGCCAAAAGTGGTGGAGCAGGGAAGGGTTTAATGGGAAATTAATATGGGAAATTTGGAAGTTGCTTGAGGCTCAACACAGCCGGACCGTTTGATGGAGTTTTAGTCTGCTACTGCCTTGCTTCTGCTACCAAAGCAAATAGCTGGGGCTGTTGTGTTAAGTGGGGACAGGTCACAACTTCACTGTTGGGAGGATTTTCACACTTAACTTGCTGGATATTTTGCTAGTCTCTGCACAACTCCCAAGACATTTTTTCACATAATATATTCCTGCTGTGCCCATCTGGATGTGGGTGGAGACATCTGAAAACATCTGCATGTCAGACGTGTGGGCAACATTTACCCAGTTGCTCTTGCTGCCTTGGGGCCTTCCCTCTGCTTGGTTTTTGCCTTTAATTTGCACAGACCTATGTTTTCTACCAAAATGCAGAATGGGGTCTTAATAGATTCAGTACCTGAAATAGTTACAGTGATGGCTTTCCTAATGTGRAACAAAGTGCTTGGACAATAAAAACACGCATCACCCAAAACATCTTGAGTCCTGGGGAGCAGCCTGAGCACTTCTGTCACAATTAGGTCAAAGATGATGTAAATCCTGCAGTGAACTTTCTATTTAGTGTCAGCGAGTGTTTGTGCTCCAAAAAAGGCAGACACTACATTATGCTCTGTAGCATATGGCATAAATTTAGTTGACATCCAAACACGTCCCACGTGGCGAGAGCCATTGAATTCTGCCATGTTATTTCCATTTGGTCATGCGTTGTAAGACACTGTGGAGATAACTCCTGCACTTGCCACCAACGAGCCCTAGATGTGAATATCCCTTAGAGTTTTCCATTGTGTGCAGGTATTTTAAGCTTCTGGAAGTCTGTCRCATGTATTTTCCGTGATTCATTAGGTTTGTTCACACTTGAAACTTAAAATCATACCAGATTATTAAGTTTTTCTGAATCTGACTCCCTTTATGTACTGTGTGCATATGTATTTATATAAATATATGCACATACACATGCACTGCATATATATATTGTGCATTATAGTACACAATAAGGCATTTAAAAATATCTTTTGCTTCAAAGAAATGCTTGTTTCTTAAAACTATAGGCATTTCTCTTTTGTGTTTCCCTCAGTTTATTGAAGGATCTAATTGGAATTTCAGGAGATAATTATTAAGATAGTTTATTTTTTTAAATCTTGCACTTAACCTCACCTCC